ACTTTCACCGCCACCAGAGAGATGTGCAGCTGCTGCCTGAGCAGCAGCTTTTTGCTTTTTGCTGCCTACTTTTTAACTGTCTGCAGGCTATTTCTATCTGCTGCGCTGTGTCTAAAAAAGCTACAGAGTGCTCCCATGGAAAACCTGTAGGTGGATCAGGTCACTCCACAAACCTACAGCACAGTATTGGATAAGACTGGCAGTTTGAACTGCACATTTTTTTTTAAGTGAGTGCAATCTTGTGAGTGAAATACTATGGTTTTCCAATCTGATTTATACAATCACAGCACTGTTGATTGGAAGGACCTCTGAAAAACTCTGGTTTTGTCAATGTGAATTTTGATAAACCTCCAGCAGCAGCACTTGTGCAGCTTTTCTGGGCAACCTATTCTGCACTGCCTTCGTAATAAATTTGTTTCCTAATGCCCATCCTGTACTTCACAGCCATTGCCTTTTATTTCATTATTTGGCCTTACCAAGGAGTATTTTGTTCCCACTGCAACCACCCATCAAGAAGATGTAGGAATTTCTTGGAATTGTTGCAGTTTTCTTGGAATTGAGATTATCCAGTGCAAACAATAGGCTTTTTGTTCTTTTTCTTTCCCCCTCTGCAATGTAGCATTCCATTTCTTGGTGTAAAATATATTTGCATCCAGAATTTCATACCTATGGGGAAGCTTCCTGACTGCTATTTAATAGATTAATTTATGCAGTTTTGAGATGGGTTAGAGTCAGAGATCCTCATGTGCTTTTGCACCGCAGCCTGTCTTAAAAGAGTGGTAAATCCGAGCTCCTTCAGCCAGCATGGCTCCTTGCCTTTCTGCGGAGTCTGTGGACTGCAGAGCATGGCCTTCAAGTGAACTCGTGGAAGTGCTGTGGGGGGGAATCTCCAGCCCTGCTGGGCATGGCTTACTGTCTGGACACCTAGGCTTGCTGCCTTGAGGTAGACCCCTCACGTGGCCCTCTGGCCTGGCAGGTTCATTTGGCTGAAGTACTTAGCAAGTGTTGCCCCGTGCTGCTTTCACAGGTTCAGTGCCAGTTCAGGGGAGTCCCAGTCAGTAGCTGTTATGGTGGCTGTCAAAAAGTGATTGTCATTTCTATGAAAGTGGTGAACCACCCACCTGCTGTAGGACAGCTGCCCCAGGGGAGCCTTGACTAATGCAGGGGGGCTATAGCTCCTTTTAATGAGCGTTAGGAGAGCTTTACAGGACTATGTGATACAGTTGCTCATGAGCAAAACACTGAAGGTGCTCAGAGAGCTGTGGCACCTCTGCTATGAAGAAAGGCTGAGGGAGTTGGGCTTTTCCAGCCTGGAGAAGGAGAGACCTCAATGCGGCCTTCCAGTACTTAATAGGAGCTTATGACCAGGAGGGAGACCGATTTTTTACGCAGTCTGATAGTGATAGAATCATAGAATCATTAAGGTTGGAAAAGACCTCCAGTATCATTCACAGTTCAACTGTGAACCCATCCTATCTGTGTCCACTGACCATGTCCCTCAGTGCCATCTCTACCCTCTTCTTGAACACCACCAGGGACAGTTACTCCAGTACTTCCCTGAGCAGCCTGTTCCAATGCCCCACCACTCTTTCTGAGAAGAAATTAGGAGGAATTTTTTTACTAAGAGTGTAGTGAGGCTGTGGCACAGGCTGCCCAGTGAGCTGTGGGTGCCACATACCTGGAGGTGCTCAAGGCCAGGTTGGCCCTGGGCAGCCTGAGCTGGTCTGGGGCAACAGCCCACCGCAAGGGGTTGGGACTGCATGGGCTTTGAGTTCACAACCCAACCCAGCCCATACCATTCTGTGATTATGTGATGGTTCTATGGAGTCTTGACCATCCAATATGTCTTCATCTTCGGGCAGAAAAGCACACGCAGTGTCTGAGGTGGGCCGCTTGGCTTCTCTCTCAACACCTCACTCCCTCCACACAGCTCGAGTATGTGAATTGTTGGAGGCTTGTTATAGGTCCTTAACTTCTCGGATAAATTCAAGAGCAACAGTGAGGGGAATATTTCTGTGCATCCACATGAGAGGGGAAAAGCGTGTGCTTTTCTAGGCAGCGGCTTTACTCGCCTGACAGCATGCGTGGTGTGGGTGAAGGTGTCGTGTTTTGGAGCTGGAGCAGTGTAGTGACTGCACTGAGCCACGTCGCGGGCACAGAGACTGCTCCCCAGCTCCTCTTGGACCAGCCAGCTTTTTGCTTATTTTCTAGGTAGAGCATGTGGCCTGATGTGCAGAACACAAAGGGCTCAGGCTGGGATTACTTCTGCAGCTGCCTTCTGGGTGGCTCCCATCGGCTGAGGAGGAAAAGCTGTCGGTTCCCTGCAGCCAGGGAGAAGTTAGTGCTGACAGATCCTGGGTGTGACAATTTATCTGCTGTGAAGTCGGAGTCCCTTGCTGCTGCTGTGATCTGTTACTGCAACATGCCAGCAGTGCTCTCTTACATTGTTGGAGGGTTTTTTTCCGAGATGTGTAAACTGAAAAATGTGGGGTATTTACTCTAGTAATTGTGGCAGGGTGGAGTTTCCGTGTTCATAATCCAGGCCATTGATGATGCTCTTGTGTTACAATACATGAATTAGCCACATAAACATTTATGTAAAGATATGAGTAAAAGAATGAAAGAAAATGTCCCCTTGTTTACACTCACAAAAAAAGATGGAGTGGGTGCTTCAGCAAGGTGTGTTTATTACACTTAGTGCTGCCTGTGTTAGTGTAGAGAATGTTTTAAGGCATTATTATTATTAATATCGAGCTCCTTTTAATTATTCTCATTGATCAGTTAAAATATTCTTATTAACTTCAGTCATATGCTCTTTGCAGCACTGCTGCCAAGTCCTGCTTTGCCTGCTTTGCGTAGGACATGAAAGAACAGTGCTTTACCCAGGCTCACAGCCTCGCCCACTGGATGTATCTCTGCTCATTGCCCCGGCGGGTGCTAACGAAGTGCACCAAACCCTTACTGTGACCCTACAGTAAGCAGACTTTCTTCAAATAGCAAAAGAGGCAGATAAGTTGGGTATGGAGCCTGGCTTCCACTAATGTATTTCAACATGAATATTAAGTAGACTTTAGATTAACAGTTCTGTGTATTTGTTATAATACTTCTAATTACTGCAAGCAGTCATTCTGGTCCGTGTCTTTAACTCTCTGTTCGCCACGTGGGTACTCTTCTTGTCCTCTTTCTTGCCACATCCTCCTTTATCCTCAGTCCCCACTTCTCTGTCAGCTGTCTAAATAGAGTTGCATCCAAGTTGTACTGAGTGACGCAATGGCTGCATGCATGCTTAGAGGCCAGTTAGAAAACAAAAAGATGGATTGAATTCAGTGCCCGAAGCAAGATTTTAGTTAAAACACACACACAAAAAAATAGGTAGCTATTAAAGGCTGTAGAAACAGAAATAAAGTGTTACCTGTGTTCTCTGTATAGCTCCCAGTAGCCCCCGATGGTGGCACTTCATCCTTTGGATCTGCTGTAAAGGTCAGCATCATGGCTCAGCTCAGCAGTCCCAGGGGTGCTCAGCTGGGGCTGCTCCCACCTATGGGGCTGCGCATGAAATAAAAGCATTTTGGTTGTTAGGTGTAGAGCCTTGAATACAAACCAAGCCCCAGCTTTAAACAAAGACTGTGGCATCTGTTCTCTCCTGAATCATACTTCCACCAATAACCTCTTTCTCCTAAATGACTCGAAGAAAGAATTAACAATTCTACAGAAATGCTCTTTGAATTCATACCAATTCACCACTAATGTACAGGTAGCCAGAACTAATGTCAGTGTGTTGTTATTACAGCACTGAATTTTCATTAGGTTTTAGTTTGCTTTTTTCTCCCCTGTTCATTCTCAGGTTTTTGTGTTACAGTACTCATTCCAGATATGATGTCATTTGTCATTCAGTTTACACTGAATCCTCTTAAGTTGCATTTCAGATACTGATGCTGAATTCTTTTTTTGAGTGTCCTCACCAGGAGCATTAGATTTCCTTCACAGTTTGTTTCCTTCATGCAGCATATAGCAGATTGGAAACAGATAATTATTCATGTCACACTTGTGATCCGCTTCGCTTATTATTAGTGCTGTGTGGGGGCTGTAGGCATGCTCCAGATCATTGCTTTGTTCAGTCTGGGCTGATGGAAAGAAAATGGTACAGATGTTGCTCATGTAAGTGCTTCTGCATCTATTTCCATCGTGTAAAACTGAAAGGTGCAACGTTCTTTGGTTTGCTGCTTTGGGCAGTTACAGTAGAGTTGCATGGAGTGTTGTACTGCCAGTGCCTCCTTAAAGAAATACAAAAAGTTAGGAAACCAGCTAGCTGTAGAAATGCCACTTTGCTTATCCTCATGCTTTACCAATGGATTTGATGCCATTAATACAGGAGAGAAGTTGCTGGGAGTGGTAATGGTATCACTTGAACGAGAGCGATGGACCTGATACTGCTGGAGCTCATTGGTGTTGCTCCAAGTGTTGTTCTGACTCCCTCATAGTGGGCTGTGGGTTCGTGCATGGGCACGAGCAAGAAGGGTCTATGGTGAGGGCTGAGAGGTACAGCTGGAAGCAGCCGTGCCTTGCAGTGCAGGAGCACAGCCATCACATCGGGCAGCGGGGAGCTGCGGTGTGCAGCCTCTGCTCCCTCCCACAAGCTGGAAAACCACCCAGGTTGGGGTCAAGTCTCTACTTTTCTTCTTTATTCAACCACAGATTCAATGTGCAGCCTTTGTTGAGTTACTTTCTCTGAGTGTACTTCCCCTTCCTTAAGTTGGGAATAACCAGACTGAGCAAACTGCTTTCAAATATAGGTATGGAAATAGTGTATGAATGTGCCAAGTAGCATTACTACATTTCAAGTGACCTTTTGGTCTGAAACTTTGCCAAAGGAAAGGGAGAGGAAGCCACTGTTGAATTGAGTTTTGCAGAGAGATCCTGCAAACAGATGGTGTTTGCATATAGGATGTGCTACTCAAGTGCAACTTTACTACAACACTCTTCATTTTTAATAATTGCAGACGGGCTAAACTCCGGCTATATTTGGAACAGCTAAAACAGCTTGTGCCTCTTGGGCCGGACAGCACCAGACACACCACTCTAAGTCTGTTGAAAAGAGCTAAGATGCATATCAAGGTAAAAACATTCATCTGTATTTTTATATTTTTAAAGCATAATCTTCCAGAATGTGTATCCATAGAGAGGAGTTTTAATTTTCACACAAGATCTGTATCCATATGTCTGATTTTCTGGCTCTATGGGTCTGTATTAGAAGCAGGGTTTTCACTCAGGGTATCAAGGTTTTTATGTGCTTTGCAGTATCAGATATATAAAATGGTGGTTTTGTGATTATTAATGGTTTACATTGTATTAAAACATATATATATCATGGGTGTTATTTGATTAATGTACTCATTTTTAAGGACTGAGCAAAGTAGCATTGTACTGCACTGATGTCAGTGTAAAACTACCAATAACTGGTAATGAAATAACTAATGGAGTCAAAGGGATTATAGCTCCTAATGAGTCTCACCCTCATCCCATACCCCAGCAACCAGATCCTGGAGCATGTGCCAATCACTTAAAAGAAACCAAAAATAAAATCTCATCTCCTGATAGCTGCCACTCCCTTTGCATGCTTTGTGTGAGCAACACCTGAGCCACCAGCTGAAAACCAAAATGAAACCTCACCTGTGCTTTAGCAACAGTACAGGTTAGACATGTGCACAGACAACACAAAGGAGATCCCTCCTCAGCCCTCCTCTTTCCTAAGACAGTGTAGTTTCATTCTCATCATTTTCAGGGGAATGGAAACACAGATAGATGATAATATTTAAATGCAGAAGGTTAAAGAACAGGTTTCTGATGCCATGTCCAGGACTGTAATTATTTGTCTGGCATTTTTTCAGTGTTAGAGGGGAAAAGAGAGAAAAGTAAGAAGTGTCTTGAGAGGCTGAATGCTGCCAGTGATCTGGGAATATTTTGGAGAACAGCCTGCTGCTGTACAGCAGTGACATTCAGTGCAATTGCAGAAATGGCTGTAATTCGTAGAAAGCACTGAGGATGAATTTAAGCAAAGCCATTCTTGTAAACAAGGTTACTCAGCTCCTTCTTCAGCTCTTGTAAGCACGTTTACTCCAGCTGAGCAACCCCTGTTTTGACCATTGGAGATTTTGGCTGCTTGTTTATAATTCAGGCTAACATGCATGAAAGGCTCTGCGTGTGGTTTTTGTCTCGGGCTGCCCCCCTATCATGGGCTTATGCATACAAATTGAAAAAGTGTTTTTACAAGTGGCAAGTGTGAGAGATTAGCCATGCAGTTAACATTTCAGCTGCTGATAACAAAGCTAGGAACGAATTCTCTCCCAGTCTGTCGTGCACGGTACCAAGTCCTCCTTTCTCAAAAGTGAAACTGAAGTTTTGTTTTCTTTTTGAGATTCTAACTGAACCCACCTCCACTGTTCTGATGCCTGACTGCTCCTCTCCAACAGGTCTGCAGGCTTTTGGACAGCCACCTCCCAGCTGCACTGTCAGAGCAGGCACTGCCCCGGCCTTCCAACGCAGCAATTAGTTCTGAACTTTTCACACACACACCCATACACTGAAACTTGCCCTGAGAGATCGGACAGTTTTGGGTCTCCTGGATATGAATCACCGAATTCATTCTCAAAATAGTTGTTAGAGTTTGGGACTGCAGCCAGGAAAATACAGGAAAAGGAAATGTGATCAATTGGGCACATTTGGTGTGCCGTGCACATGGATGTACTCACCCATTTGCTTATTGTAACATCGTGTTCCTACGTATGATGCATATCTGAGTAGTGTGTGGCCTGGGCTTACAATGAGACTACAGAAGTTAGGTTTCATTCAGGTGGGAAGCTGCTGAGTTGAGTAATATCAATTATGTTTTCAAAGATAAATACATTTGCTTTTGGGGTTGCATTAGAACAGCAGAATCGTTGCAGTCACTTGGCTCGTGGTTTGTTGTATGCTGTCCCACCCCACTCTCCTCTAGAAACCCACACATAGGTTCATTCACATGGTAGGGAAGAGTCAGCAGCAGCTGTATTCACTCCCAATACATCTCCTACATCTCAGTGGTCATGTAAACACTGCTCAAAGAAAAATTTGGTCTAGCTTATAAGTGCTTTTTCTGCCAGAACCTGTAATTTACTTCATCACTTAGATTAAAAGAATTGCCTTTTGTGTGTGTGTGTTTTGTTTGTAGCTCCTGCTTTTGATCCAGTCATATCCATTCTACTTCTCTAGCTATGTAGTCCATTTTTGAAAATAGCTATCAGTGATTGGAAAAGCATTCAGCTGAAATCTGAAAAGAGAATATCCCTGCTATTACCTTTGTACCAACAGTGCATTGCATTTTACACAGTGTGAGGTATTCTTTTTCTTTCCAAAATGAGCACCTTATTTTATTCAAGTAACAGGAAAGTTTTGGGGCTGATTCATGAAAGGACCCATTCACAGGTTGTTTGCTGAGAAGTATTGGATTAATAGTGCTGATTTTGTAGGGGGTTATCATAGAGTTATCAGAGAAGTGCTAGGAAAAAGAAATGCAAGAATGAAGGGAATTGTTGGTAAATTCCTCCTACTTCATATATAAAGTAATACTGGAGTACTGATAATGAAGCACTCTTAAATGGTAAAAATTTCCATAGCCTCTAGTCGTACGGGGAGCACTGAGGAGCCTGTAATGGTTCCTTTACAGTGATAATTCTCCTGTTTCACCTAAAGAGCCATAAAACTCTGCTTGAAACCGGAGCCATGCGCTAGTTACCAAAGATGGTGACAGTTTTGTCTGACAAAATGATTTAAATATTCCCCAGAACCAAGGCAACAATCATTCAGTCTTAGCTGAGAAGCTTTTGCTAGTGGCAAAAGGGTCCCTAAGGAATTTTTTTCTTTTAGTGTATCCATGTATTTTACTGTGAAACCAATTTGCTTCTGGACTGGCCAGCTGAAATTGTATGGAGCTCTATAGGGTGGTAACAGAAATAATTATGTCTGATCATCAATTCGTGCTCTAAAGGAACTGATTAGAGAAGATCTGAAATTAGTGATGCTTTAACACAAGTACGATCTGTTGGCTTACTGATATTCTCTCTCTTTAAGAAATTGGAAGAACAGGACCGAAAAGCTCTGAATATTAAAGAACAATTACAGCGGGAACACCGCTACCTCAAACGCAGGTTGGAGCAGCTATCCGTGCAGGGCATGGAGCGCATCCGCACTGACAGTATGGGATCAACAATATCCACTGACTCTGAACAAGGTAATTGCATGAGGGCTGCCCAGAAGGGCCTCCAGCTGTGGGAAGGAGGGGGAAGCAGGGAAGCAAACAAATTCTATTTTTCAATACACAATTTAGAACTAAGATCAAGTTTTCAACAAAACCCAGACAAAACTGTTCCATTACGCAATCTACAGAACAAAAAACAACGGCATCTTTTGTATATTCTTTGCAAAACAGTTACTTGCCTTAATTTGTTTGCATGAGTAAATTAATTTCACATCATTTCTTGTGAAATGTTACCATATTTTCTGTGCAGTGGTCACCAAGTGTTTCCTGCGTTTGGTTTTCATTCAAGAGTGAGCTCTCGAAGCTCCCCGTCACCTTTTCTTATCTTCTGATTAGCAGTGTGTCTGTGAGTGAGAACTCACGCACACAGCCCTTTTCAGGGCCCATGGGAGATGGAGCTGTTGGTCACAGTGCAGCTCTTGGAGGACAGATGGCTGCACCGCAGTCACTGCGAGCTGACACCTGCACAGGTTGAGCTGCCGCGTGCGATGCTATAGCTCAGAGCCCAGAGGGTTTGGGTTTCCTTGGTTTGTTTTTTAAGATCAGCATCTATGAACAGGTTGGAACAGTTCTGGGACAGCATTTGGTGTTGATGTCATGCTGTGTATTTATGTAGGTGAGGACAGAAGGGATTTTAATTCTCAGGTGGACAAGATGCTACTTACCTCAGGAGCTACTGTTGCAGGCTTTTTTTAATTACAGAAAATGAATGATTCGGGTTCCACCTGAACATTGGTTACGCAGGCAGTGCTGGCCCCTGGTTACTTGTTAGAGAAGCTGCGTTTCTGAAAATGTTACTTCTTACGTTTTCTTTAGAAGTAGACATTGAAGGAATGGAGTTTACACCCGGTGAAATGGACAGTATTGGAAGTGCCAGTGATGCTGAAGACCACTACAGTTTGCAAAGCGGCTCGAGCGATGGAGGTTACACACATTCCCGCAGACTGAATGCCAGGCTCTCATAGTGCCTGAGTTACCAGTTCAACTCAGGACCATCTGACTGAAGCACTTATATATGAATATTCCAGAGGTGTCAACTGCCACTCTTCCGGGAAACCCCAACCACAGTACTCTGACATGGAGGTTTCTTACCCACGGTTCCCTGCACTGTAACCACAATATTAGATATTGTAAATCATGGGTTTGCTGCAGAGAACTGTGGTTAGGTACAGTTGTGACTTAAAGCTAGCTTGATGTAGCTCTACTGCAAATTAAAGAAAAGAAATTGTCATTCCATTCAAGAAGTATTAAATTCAAACTGTTGGAAGCATGGCATAAGGAAGTTTGACAATTATTTTGATTTTGCAGAAACCATTTTCAAACATGGAAGAATGAACAGAAACTACCATGCGTTAGTGATTCAGAGATACAAAAACCTAAAACTACTTTTTGTGGTATTTTTACATGGAAAAAAAAGAAAATTGAACCCTGTATAGCAGGCTCTGTTGTATCAATTCTTTCAGCAGTTGTTTGGGTAAAGCAGGCGGATAAATCTTCAAATTGCAGATGATCTTTAGAAAAGGTCATATTTACAAGTCACTACTGTACTTCAAAACGGGGGAAAAGCCAGCTCTAGTAATGACTTCATGTGGGATGATCTCAACTTTCTTCTGCTTTTTTGTATTCAGTATCCAACCAGCAGCAAATCATTCCATCCATGTTAACAGGAGGAGTAGGATGCAGCACTGCAGTTTGGACCTGTTACTGTGGAATGGATGACATTGAAGCATTTCAGTGTTTTTGGTGGTTTTTTTTTCATTTCTTTGCCTGAAAAATACAGAACTCACGTGATCCAGATTGTGATAGCTAATCTTTCCTTGCAGGGAAATGAAATTTCTGTTTGCTTGTATTTTTTTTCTTTTTACACATGTCAATACATTTTTATGGAAGGCATGGCTTAAAAATACAGTATTCAGCTAGAAGATAATTAATCCTTTTTTCTTTTGCACACTATAATTGCATTTTCTATTCTTAAAAAAGTGCAAAAAATTTAAATGTATGCTGTAAAACAGCAAAGTTTATTTAGTACTCATCAAGCTGTTCAGAACATATTTACCCAAATTATAGCAATACTATGAAGATGTATTTTAATACAACTTCTGCTTAGTGAAGTCATTAGAGCTTGGCTTGCCGGGTAAGAAAAAACGGACCAGTCTTTGCATTACCTGTTTAAAGAAGGTCTTTTAAAAAAAAAAAAAAAAAAGAAAAAAAAAAAAAGAAAGAAAAAAAAGAAAAAAAAAGAGAAAAAAGCTATAAACACTTTTAGGGAAGTGATTTTAGCAAGTGTAGTCTATATTTCCTGTAAGAGATTTTGTATTATATTTTCCTAAATGTTCTCATTTACTTGTATAGGGAGGGGAATGGTACAGACCCAGACCAGAGTCTCAGGGACTCTTCACCTTTGTCATATTGTGCCTTGGTGACCATTTATGTATGCCTCTCCTTTTCATTGTTTAAAGGACAACTAAGCTTTGTTTCCAGACCCTCCATTGAATGGTCAGTTGTCCACCTTCCTACCGATGAAGTAGAGAGGTGTGTTTATATCTTTACCCTCTCACAACTGATTCAGTGTGGCTTTAAGTAAAATCCTAAATTTAGGTTTCGGTGCGAGGGTTAATTGTATAAGCCCTCCTTTTGATTCTTCAGCACCCAAATCTATATTTTGTTAGCTTATAAAGTCAGGGTCTCCGTGAGACCAGTGCTCAGTGGCTAGGGAAACACAAATGTACTGTGTAAGGCTATGGGATGTCCAAGTGTGGTGCCATTTTTAGCATTCAGATACAAGACCTCATGACACGCTGACCATAATGATCAAAAACAAAGATTCAGTTGTTCTTTCAACATCTGACATACGTGTCCTCCCTTTGGCTCTTACAACACCGAGTAGAAATACGAATACATTTTGTGGCAGCTTACAGATCCTTGTTTGCACTCTCGCTTACTGCTTGGAACTTGCCAACAAGGAAAATGTATATGTTTAATTTACATAACCTAACGGATTGCCACCCCTACTTTGGCTCTGGGGAGGGGCATAAGGTTATCAACTCTGGCAGCTGAATAAGAAAACAATTAACCTTTTCTGTGATGCAGGTTTTGGTATTATGTTGTACACACCTTGCATTTTACTAAAATCCTCGTTGTTGGGGAAAGCACACAGCAATATACTCATTGTGTGTAGCTGACAAGCAGCAGAAATTACTAGCTCCTTTGGTGCATATGTAACTAATTTCCAAATCATGGAAAAAAAAACAAAAAAAAAAAACTAAGAGTTTACTTTAACATACGACTGTTAACAGGAAAAAAAAACAGGCTAGTATATTGTTGCTGTTCATTTATTCTATAATGAACACACTCATGAATTGTAAAGTGTTTCCTTTTGTGACAAGCAGCTCTTGCACAGAACCTCCTAATGAAAAGAGATTTGAAACTTAGAGAAGGAAAGACAAGATTTTAAATTGAACATTATTGTACCTTAGGTCAACCTGAAATTTTCCTTTTAAAAATGAATGTGCTAACTTAATGAGTTCTTCCACGCTGGGTATCCATGGCTTTGTAGATCTTATATTTTCAATAAAAATTACTCGAATAATCTTGAGTGGAAACAAAAAGGGTTCATTTGTTTTTACTTTTCCAATTGTTACAGTGGGGGCTGCTATCCCAGTAAAAAGATCCTCTTGATGCGCTCTTCTCCCCATTCTAAAGCAGTGCTTCCTCCAGATGTGGCCCCTTCTCTGCAGGCGGTTCAGGACAGCAGCTGGAAGCCCCACAGCTGCTCCAGGTGCTGGGCTTGCTGGCTGGCGTGCCCAGCACCTCTGCTGCCAGTCAGGCTGGCAGGTTCCTTCCAGAGCGCATCTTACTGCGCTGTGTCTGTGGCAGTGGCAGCCTGGGATGTCACCTAGGGATGGACAGGGCGTCCTGGTTTTGCTTATTTTCAGGCTGAATCTTTGTGTGCGTGCTTTGTGTGCGTGCATGCATGCATGGATTGGTGTGCGCGCACAACTACCTGTAACCACAGCAGCAATGGAAACAAATGCTGCTGCTCCAAGATTAAACACAGCAACCGTGCTGACAGATCTGCCGCTCTGTGTCATGGCCGTGCTTTGGGCAGGTGAGATCCTGAGATCCCACTTCTACGTTCATCTTTCTTCCTCCACGTTAGCACCTGTGTGGGCAGGGCTCTGCAGAGACGAAGCCATCGCAAAGGACTTTCTGCAGAGTGCAGAGGCCTGGCCTCGGGGCTGGCTCTTCCCTCCTCCTGAGGCACTGCTGTGAGTGAGTCTGTGCCATCACAGGGGAGAGGCATAAATCCAACCCCAAATGGTTGACTTTTCTGCAAATTCTCGGCCACAATTAGGATGAATATGCCTTCACTCCCATCCCGGCTCTGCCTAACGTGTATCCCATGGAGGCTGGCTTATTTATCTTCCTAAAATAGTGGGGCTTGACTCGCAGAAACTGCAGCATGTTGTTGCCTCAGACTGAATCCTGTGGGCTTTTTTGTACGAAACTCAATCTGGGCTCAGAGTGAGTTTCATTAGAATACCACAGACATAAAACGTCCCCCAGAAATCCACAAGAAGGACAGAGTTTTTCATCTGATGGGTTTCTATCTTTCTTAGTTAACATCTGGGATGGGAAAAAAAAAATAAAAAATAAAGAATTACTGCTTTTCTTGACCCTCCACAATATTATTTTTTATTGACACAGAATCATAGAATCATTAAGATTGGAAAAGACTCCTAAGATCACCTAGTCCAACTGGCAGCCCATCCCCACCATATCCTCTGTTTCTACTGATGTACAAGTAAATAAAAGCCATGAACAATCAGTATTTGGAGCATCCTACTGTACATCAGGTGTGGCCAGTTTTGGTGAATTGAGTGCCAAAAGCACAGAACTGGAATGGGAGGATGCAGAGCTGTGTGCCAGCCCAGGCTGCAGCTGTGCTCCATGTGGTGCCCAAGGGCGTCATTCTACTTTCCTTGGAGGCCTTTACTGCAGCCTCCGCTCCCCGGAGAGGTGATTATTGCACCATGTTGCCACCATCCTCGCTCAGTGGTGACTACCTGTGAGTGGTTTTGTCCCTGCAGATGAGCACTGTGGAAACGAATGTCACAGCTTTTAACCTAGGAATTGTAATTTTACTCTTAAAAAGCTGTTAATTTGTGTTACTGCTGCAGGCCATTGGTTTTGTACATGATAAGAGCAAGAACGAGGTGGCTGTTTCAGCCACTAAATTGCACATCCCAGCATTGGGGGAAGGAGAACTGAATGCCTTTAGATGCTCTTAAAGATCTGTACTCCTCACAAATATGAATGGGATGAACACATCAGAAACCAAATGAAGTTTCACCAGAAGCAAAATGAGCCAAATTGCCAAAGTGACCAACTAAATGTAGTACTGCTAATTGGCAGCTGCCAAAGAAACATCCAAGTATTACGTTACTACCTAGAATTGCAATGGAGGGAAAATACTGAACAGAATATGTGAGAATTTGGTCATCTTGGCCCTTCTTTCTATCTCAGCTATTGTAAATCCCAGCAAAAGACTGCAGTAGAGGAAAATCCACTCCAAATCATAGAATCATAGAATCCTTAGAGTTGGAAGGGATCTCTGAAGGCCATCTAGTACAACTCCCCTGCAATGAGCAGGGCCATGCACAGCTACATCAGGTTGCCCAGGGCCTGGTCCAACCTCATCTTGAAAGTCTCCAGGGACGGGGCATCAGCCACATCACTAGGAAACCTGTGCCAGAGCCTCAGCACCCTCTCTGTAAAAGACTTCTTCCTTTTATCCAACCTAAATCTCCCCTCTTTAAGCTTGAAGCTATTTCCCCTTGTTCTGTTACCACAGACACTGCTAAAGAGTCTGTCCCCTTCTTTCCTGACGTTCCACACTGTAAAGGTTCTGCATGCACACCTGTGTGCTACTCACTACATTCTGTAGCATGGAATGTTGTGTTGTATTGTTATTTTGTGAGAATATAAATACAAATTTTTTATACCTTTTTGTTGTTTCATTTTTTTCTTTTTAAATTGTCGTCTCTATTTGCATGCAGCGTTTCTTCTCTTTGCAAATCTTTTCATATAGCTTTAATGACTACTTAATGAGGAGCTCATGGAGTTTTAGCAATTCAAATTAATCCTATGGCATTCAGGCTGGAGTGCAATTTAAATTAAATTTCTTTTACATATGTTGGCCCAATGTAACCCTAACAGTCATTAACGTTATTTGTTATAACCATGGGTGCCGTATAAATTTCCACTATTAAATTTCTGAAGACAAACCAGCCTGTAAAACAAAGTGCAAATTGAAATGCATTAGTGTATGTTCAAAATAATTGTACTTGAAATCACTCTGGCTCTGTACAGGGTAGAAAAAAAGTGTACGAGGCAACCTGCAGGTTCTGCCTGTGTGCTGTGCTGAATGGGAAATTCACAGCCAGACGAAGGTGTGCATTTCAGTTTGTTACTGGGAGAGATGAGAGGAGGACAGAACTGAAATGCTTTTGCAGATGGTGTTGTTGTATTTTTAAGTGCAGCGTGAGACATTCTTTTGTTTCAATTTGTCATCAGTGTTGTGCTGTAAATTCAGATTTCTTAAAAATATAGAAATGGGAGTTTTAGTCTGAAATCATGGCATGTAGATTGTCAGGAAGCTGAGCCACTGAATCACTGAAAAGACTTATGCCAAAGGACACCATCTTTTTAGCAAAGCTTTCTTTGAAAGTGCCCCTACAATAGAGCCAAAGGCACCCAGTGTGCTGCTGAAATCTGCAACAGGAAGAGAGGGGCAGCAAACTTTTTGGCAGTGTGTCATTCTGTGTGCAAGGCAGAACTGCATGGGGAACAGCATTCTGAGTGATGTTGCAGCACATTTTGATGACCTTGCACGGTTTAAGACCTGTGCAGTTTCTTTCATGACATTTGTAATGCCTTGTGAGCTGTTTATAAGAAAAGTAAGTTTCCCCACTTTGCAAATGATGGAAATTTAATAAGTTCAGAAGCTTGACTATCAGTAAGAAAATGGTTTGGTTTTTTTTTTTTTCTGCAGCCAATTTAAATGGAAAAAAAGCCTTAAATTATAACTAAAATCATGATGGCCATCACCTTGCTCTAAAAGAGGTTGTTTAAAGTAGTTTCAGTGGCAAGTTTTCAGTTATTACTGTTATTAGACATCCAGAAATTGTGAACGTCCTGGTGCTTTCATGGACCTCAGCATGGCAAGAATGGTATGATTATGATGGGTGGACAGGCAAGGAATGGAGGGCTGGAATTAGTGGTGCCAGAAAGGACTGGTTTGTTTGCTACTGGTATGGGGTCCATTTCCTTTTGTTCACAAAAGTGTCAGCTCCCCAGGCTGAGAGAGCAGCTCTCTGTAAGCCTCCAAAAGATCCTGTTCCTTTGTGCCGCTGCTGTGCAGTGCAGCCACTGCCCTGATGTGCAGGAGCTGGAACGCGATGGCAGAGGCAGAGCAGCGCGAGGTGGTGGCAGGAGCAGGCTGGTGCTTTCCCATCCTGCTGGACTTTTAATCCAAAACAGGGCCAGAAGAGTAAACAAATAAGTTTTTTTTAGAAAAGAATAACTTTGTGCATTGTATGCCTAAATACATCAGCAGTCCAATTGTATAGGTGCTTTTTTTTATTTATGGCATCGTATCCAATAAAGCTGAAGAAAGCTAATCACTGTGACCTGCTTTTCTGGGAACACGAGGTTTCGGAATGAAATCTGTTCCTCCACAGAGACAATACAGGTGCCTGTGAGAGCGAGCGAGCTGGTGCCAAATTTCTGTATTCTGGCTTTATTATCATAACAGTTCACACAGCACTTCAAAAGCTGTGCTTAATTCAGAGCATAAGTTTGCTTAAAGCAATGATCTTCTTTTAACAGAGTGCTTCCAAAGAGTGCCTGGCACTCCTGCAATCTGCATTGGGTCCCTCTAAAATCCTGCTGCTACTGGCTAAAAACCTGCATGATGTAAAATGAAAAAGTTTCCACACTGTTACACCACCTAAAAACTTATTTCCACATCTTCACTGTTATTTAACAAAACCAAACCAAACCCCAAACCTAAAACCATAATAAGCAAAATACTTTTATGTGAGTTCTTCACGACAGATGTATCTCAGTGGGAGGGTTTATATTCACCAGCTGTGATGCCTATATGATGTGTTTTACAGCCTGGGCCAGTGGGTAATTGATAGCTTCTCAGTGAGCACCAGACACAACTACATCATGTTTTACAGTGAAACAAATGCAACATGGCATGGGTGGGATAGTGCAGAGCTTGCAGACATCCTTCCAGAAAAGTCTCTGTCTTAATCTGCTGGAATCCACCATAAAATGCCTTGTAAATACAACACGCTATCTAAGAGCCTCTCTGGTGCTCGGACACAGATGCAAAACAACTGCTCCTGGAATGGAAAAAAAGGGTAAGGTAAGCCTTTAATTATGTTTTGACTGAACACAACTGAGAAAAAAATGAATCAGAGAAAAACATTCTTGACCCATAAGGAGCTGCAGAAGGAAACACTGAAGCATATGGGGCTGTGGCTGGATGGGAAAAAGGACTGTAAGAAATGTCAAAGATATGATTGTAACATGTTTGTAGGGGAAGGCTGTTGTTTAATCTCTGCCCCTAAAAGCCAGTGTATGGTCTAACAAATGAAAATTTGTTTCACATTAGAGGCTTGTTCTTTCAAAATGAGAAGTTTAAGTGCACAGTGTTCTGACCTAAAATATTTCAATTCTAGCCTGAATTCCTATGCCAGCAGGGATTATGAGATCATGCTGTCTGTCAATTCCTCTTTCATCCATCTGTTCCCCTCCTCTTTCCTTGATAACTTTTGAACCTTCAGGCAAATTTTGACCAAATTTGATGAAGCGGAGATAGGATGGAGGCTGCAATGATAATCAGCGGTGAAAACTTCCATGAAAATTTCATGTCTGGGTAGAAAGAGAACCAAATTGTTTCCTGAGCTCGAAGGCTGGCATGACTGAACTAACTGTTCCACAAGGTGGCTGCTGCTCAGCACCTGTGCTGCACCAGACCAGCTCAGTATTGGAGTTACTGTTCCTGGTCGCCCAGCTAAGCAGATGCAGATGGATGTTTTGTGTAAGGACAGGAGGGAGTGCTTGAGTCGAGGGAGGAAGTAAAGAGAGAAGCTGCTCACACAGGGATCTGAAGTTGTAGCTGCAGAAGTCCAGGAACTGTATGAAATCCTCTTCTTTCAGATGTATCTATCTTCTTACTGCTAGGATGTGGCCTTCAATTACAGACCTTGATTGCTCTCAGGTCAGAGAAATTTTAGAAAAGTTTCTAGATGAAAAAAATACAAAATTTGCTTTTGCTCACATATTTTTGTATGAGAAGCAGTGACATGTATATAATTGAACAGATTTAACAGTGAAGCACGAGCCTCCAAAATACAGCCATAGGACCATTTTAGTGCAAGTAATTAAACTGAAACAGCATTGTCTCTTGAAGTATTCTAGTGAATGCTTTTGCTCCTTCCCCATCAGAAAGACACAACACACTCTATGTGTAAGACAATATGAAAACTTCAGCTAGCCTAATTGCACCTGCATATCAAGCTGTAATCTGATGGTAAAGAATTCATCTCTACAGCTCTTTTTACCCATCGCTGCCAGGTCAGGGCTTAATGCACAAATGTGTCCTGCACAGGTCACACTCAGCTACAAATTACCATATTGCACTTTGCAGGCGATTCAGGTGCTAATTTTGATCTTGAAAACCTCGTGCAAATCAGCCTTAGCTGTGCTGAGAGGTTGCTCATTTCCCCGCATTGATTCATTTCAACAGCTGCATTAAGTGAGATTAGAGGAGCTGCACATTTAGGACATGTAGTGGGAGGGCTCAACCACCCACATACAGACTGGGTCAGTGCCTCACCAGGGTGAAATGTAGAGATAGAATTTCTGGATGCACTAAGCGACTTATTTCTAGAATAACTGGACCTGGAAGCCACAGGGAAAAACACAGCTCTGAATTTAGTCTTCAGAAGGATCTGATTTGAGAGCTATTAGTGGGAGAGGTGCTCTCTGATGTCAACCACAAAATAATTAAGCTGCATGGTGTAACAACAGAAAGCAAGGCAAATAAAGCAAACAAATGCTGAATTTTAAGAAAACAAACTATGTAAAAATGGAGAAGAAATTGCCAAAAAAAAAAACCCCAACCCTGCAACCACCTAAAAAGCAGTACAAAAGGAAGTAGCCTAGAGGCACCAAGAAGGCTTAAAAATCTTGCACTAGAAGTCTAGGTAAAATGCCTGACACAAATAGAAAACGCTCTTTCAAACCCTCCAGCATGACTCAGTGAGAGAGTTAAGGAGGCTACGGTGAGGCAAATAGGAAAGACCAGAAAAACATGGCATGTGAAACATAAACAGGAAATAAAGGCGGCTAAATTTAAGGATTGTCTAACAAAAGGTGCTCCAATTGTTAGTAAAAACTTTACTTGATTCTCAACTCAGAAAAAGCCCTCATAAGAGGTCCTGCAATCATTGCTAAGAGATGTTTGTTGCCTCAACAGGCAGTGTGAGCCAAAAAGCCAAGAAAAGCAAGCATCATGAGGAACTGCACTGGAACCACAGCAGAAGGTGGGGTTTTGCTGCTACAAAATCCCTTGGCGCATCCATGCCCTAAGGCCTGTTGTGCATCTTGTCTCTTCATCTCAAGAAATGAGAGGGGAAAACAACATTTGCAGGAGGAAAATCAACTTTTTACACAGGTTGATAGTGACAGGACAAGGGGGAATGGTTTTATACTAAAAGAGGAGAGATTTAGATTACACGTCAGGAGGAATTCTTTTCGCTCAGATAGTGGTGATGCCCTGGCACAGGCTGCCCAGCTGTGGGTGCCCCATCCCTGGATGTGCTCAAGGCCAAGTTGGATGGGGTCCTGGGCAGCCTGATGTAGTGGGGGCAACCAGCCCACAGCAGGGGGCTAGGACTGGATGGGCTTTGAGGTCCCTTCCAAACCAAGCCATGCTATGATCCTATGAAGAAATGCACAGCAACAATGTGCAGAAGGTGCAGAAAAAAGACAACTGAAGTAATCAAGGACTTGCTTGCAAAGGTCAAATTTTGCTATTCTTTACATTGCAGAGGACAAAGCTGATGGGATATTTACTTGTGATTTCTCAATTTTTAGGAAGACGAGAGGCCAGGTAAATGCAGAGCTGGTGTTCACCAAATCCTGCAGTGCTAGAGCCAATGGTCATTTGATGAAATGAAGGAGGCAAAAGTTTAAAAAAAAAACACCAAAGAAAGTGTATTTTTAAAGCAGCAGCTAGTGAAGTTCTAGCATTCATTGTCTTGCAAAGCTTTGGATAGCATCAGGTTCAAAAAGGGATTAGACAAATTGGTGGTCATCAAGAGCATGAAAAAATGAAAGCAGCAGGCATGGGCAAAGCACCAACACAGTGCCTATGGGCTTTATAGGTGGCCAGGTCTGTGCTGAGCAATCCTCTGCTGCCACAAAGCACCTGTCAGCAGTGCTGCTGACCCAGCCAGGCATTCCCAGTGTTCTCTGCCCAGCACTTACTGCATATTCACATCACCACCTGCCTCAGTATCATTTTCCCTATTTAAAACACTACAAAAGTATAAAGATTTAGTTACAGGATATTTTTTTTGTTTGTTTTCTGAGAGCAGCTTCACAGGCCAATCCCACTGCAAACACGAAGCCTCAACAGGCAAACGCCAGGCCCTCCTCCGCACTGCTCAGCTTCAGGCAGCGCACCGAACACCGCAGTCTGGTGCCGATGGCTTGCTCGGCACCGAGCCGTGTTAAATGGCAGACACCGCTGCCCTCCTTTTATGCTGGAAGATAGCAGGAAAGCCACAGGCTGCTGCACAGGGCTGCTCACGAGCGGCCACAACGAGAGCCGAGCGCGCCGCCCGCGCTGACAGAACCCCACAGCGGGCGCCCAACGGCCGCGGCGCGCGGGCAGCCCGCCCACATGACGTCACGGCGGCTTCCGGCCAAGTCCCGCCCAGGCCCGCCCCGCAGGAGCGCCGCAGCGCGCACGCGCCTCTTCGACAGGCTGGCGGCTCGCGGGGAGGAGAGGCGCGCGTGCGCAGTGGGCTCCTGTGGAGGGAGGCTGCGCGAGAGCGGCGCGCGGCGGGCGTTTTGACCGTTGGCGCCATAACGGCCGTCCGCCCCTCCCGCTTCTCCTCACGGCCCGCCGCCGCTCCCTCGCCTCGCGGAGGGCTGCCCGAGCGCCTCTCAGTGCCGCGGCCCGTCCCTCCCGCCTCTAAGGGCACCGTGCCGTGGTGAGTAACCCTGCCCGCTCCTCGTCCTGGGGGAAGCGGCCCCCGGCGTCCCATCGCGGCTGTTGGGCTGAGCGCTGCCCTTTGGTGCCCTGTTGCACCACAGAGTGCTTGCTCCGAGTGATCTTCTTGTCATTGCTTTGGCATTTGTATGGTAAAGGACTTCTTGCTCTGTTTGCAGAGGGAAATATAAGAACGGAGCCTTAGAAGACAAGATTCTGCTCGCTGCCGAAGTAAAAGATACAAACGAGAGTTTGAGTTCTTGTGTGGTGTCTTCTAGCTTTATTTTTAGGGTAGACTGAGACCTTCCTTCGTTTTGAAGGAGTTAAAAAGATTTTTAAATTTCGGGTGTGGGATGCGATCAAAGTAAAACGCTCCGGCAGGGTAACGACGTGCTCGCTATCTGTTTGGGTCTGTTAGTTCAGAATTCATGGTGAAATTCGATTTTAGTGTTAAAGTCACCTTGGCTGTGCAAAACGATATATTTTTTGTAAATATTTGGGATGTAATTGTTGTCAAGAAACGTCTTGGTTATCAGATCAGGACAGGAATGCCTTAAGGCATCCCTGAAATAAAAATTGCTTCCTGGTCTTACTAACAATTGTAGCCCATGGTAGCGTTCAGTTCTGTGGTGTGATCTGCTACTTTCACTTTCCTGTGCAGACACTTCTGTGTTAGAATACTGAATATTCCCTTAAAATGACCAAAAATGCCCACACTAGAATAATCCCCTAGAAATCTTCCATTTGAATCTTTTCTGCTTTCAAAAATACTTAAATCATGAGCTGTGGGAAGGAGTTTGTGGAAATTCTTAAGAAAATTGGATATCCAAAAGCCAATGAGCTCAATGGAGAGGATTTTGACTGGCTGTTTGAGTCTTCAGAAGACAAATCATTTCTGGAGTGGTTTTGTGGAACTGTAAATGAGCAGCATGTATTATCTGAAAAAGAACTGCAAGATTTTAATAGTCTTCTCGAGTCTGGAAAGCCCGTATTAGAAGGAAATGCATTGGTTGAAGTCCTTAAAACCTGTAAGCCAGAAGATTCAGGGAACAGCAGCCAAGAGAAGGAGGAGGAACTTAAGAAATTAGAGGATGAGTTTCAAACTCTTCAGAAAATGAAAAATCTTACAATCCATCGGCATAATAAGCTTCAGATGATCATTTCTGAAAACAGCAGCATGTTACAGACACTAAAAATCAAAGAGGAAGAAACGCAGAAAGATGTGAAAGAAGGTCTGGAACGGTTCACTGCAGCAAATAATAAGCTTAATAACGAACTGCTCTCCCTTGTGGATAGAGTTAAGAATTTGGCCTCTTTCTTCACTGCTTCAGCTTCAGAACAAGGATCAGGTTTGCATCCAGTGTTTTTTTCCCAGCTTTCCTTGGACAAGTATTTGTCTCAGGAAGAGTGCTGCACTGCAGCACTTGCCTCGTATGCAAAAAAGTGTTTTTATCAGGGTATGTCAGAATTGGCTGAAAATTTGCACGAAGACAACTTTGAGCTTGCAGATATTAGCAAACGTGTCACTTGTGCTGAGACTACTGAAGCTTGTGGAAAGAGCCAGGAGATTGCCAGCCTCCAGGCAGCGTACATTTGTGCTCAGCGTCAGCTAATTGAATTGCAAGCTGAAGAAGAGAGCTTGAATTCAGCTATAGAGTGTGCAGAGAGCATGCTGCGATCCCCAAAGAGCAAGGTAAGCAGCAAATGGCTTTATAATGTTGTGGAGTTTGAAACAGAGACAGGCATGCTTTGAATTATTAGTACTACTATTTTGACATAGTGGAATTGCGCTTATTGAGATTTTAGTCTTATTCTTGTGAAGTAGCTCCAGTGACTAGGAGCTAGGTTAGGAGTTTTTTCAGTATGGCAGAGTACCTTGAATTCTACATTCTGGAGCTTGTTTCATTAAAAAACTGGTTCTTGGTTGTACCTTTCTAATTATGTTAAACTCTGCAATTTCAAGTTGTAACTGTCTCCATTGTTTGTACAATAATCAAAACATTAACTTTAAATTTTGCATATGGGGGTGAACGTTATATATAGTCTTGTTTATATTTCCTATAGGAAAAAACCTTCAGGTTTTAGTTCAATGACTTGGGAATTTATAATGTGGAGACATAGTGTTGATATGTTTCAGGTATCAAAGTAATGAATTGTGTAGTTGAAATCCCACAGATCTCTCATCGAGTGATGGGCAGATGTGATATTTAAGAATGTGAGGGATTTGTAACAGAAGGAAGAAAATAGCTTATTATGCAGTCATGAAGGCTAACTTGAGGCATTATGTTGGTATGTTTTCGTTTGTGGACAGGCATATAGTGCTGGATTGATTAGAGTCATTTGAAAAAGGTTAGTTCTGATGGGCAGTATTGATAGTCATCTGGCTGAATGTAGACTTTTTTGCATGTGAGATTTCAGATCTGTTTGAAATCTAGGTGTGAACTAAAATACAGCTCCTACAATTTTTCTGTAATGAAGTTGTTCTACTGCAGAGCTGTGAAACGATTTAATTATTTCTTGAAACATATACGATACCTACCATCTTAAATCTGTATTTGCCTTGTATGTTGTGAAGCTCTGTAAAGCCACTTGCAGAGTTCTCATTTAATTTTAATGGTGCTTTGATTTTCATGCAAGCGCTTGATTCTTCTGTGACCTGAAGAAATGCGTTAGGGAAGCTGAATGAAGAAACGTGAACAAAAATCTGAGGGAACTGTGAAGGGATTGATATGTTTTGCTTTATGCAGGGTATTGAAAAGCAAGAAGACATCGAGGCCAAAATATCTAGTTTAAATGATGAAATCTCGACAATTAAGCAACAGATAGCTGAAATAAATAACAAAGAGCTGCCTTCCCTTCTGAAAGAGCATGCACAGATGTTCACTGCACCAGTGGTAATGGCAGACCTGGATCGTGAGATTGCTCAGCAGGACCATTTCACTTCTAAACAGGATGAGATCTGCAGCCATCTGATAAGACAGAAAGCATCATTTGAACTTATTCAGCTAGCCTATGACATTGAATTGAAGAAACACAAAGACATCCACTGTCAACTTGAGAATTTGATAGAATCTCTGAAACAGAGCAGTAATGAGATGCAACAGAGACTAGAGGTGTTATCTAAGCAAACTGAGCTTGAGAAGCCAAGGAACGCTATTAGTTCAAACGATGATTTCTCTTGTAGGTAAGTGTTAAAGTCACTGCTGAACTTTGACTTTTTTTTGAAATTAAGTTGGGAAGATAAAGACGTAGGTAAGTGAAACTGTCTCAGTTGTTATTAGTTACTTGCCATACCTAATTATGTTTGAAATTCCCCAGAATTGAGGCTTCCAAGATATGAGATGTTAACATTGCCAAAACATTCCTAAGCAATATTGAGAATGTAACGAATGTTTAGCAAAATCAGACATCTGGAAAAGCTTTCAAGAAGTGCAGGTGCAGAGAGCTGTTAGTAGCAGTAATATCCCAGGCAATAGCTACGGCCTCATCTGCTCAGCCTATGAAACCCTGTATGTGATGGAGGAGAGGAACAACTCCTGGAATGTAAGAAATGTGTTTAGCTCATTGGTACTGCCTGACTTGCTATCTGCATCCTATTGCCCATATAGGATTTTTTTCACCATCTAAGTGATTCAGTCTTCCTGTATCTCAGGTACAGCAGGAGTGTGCAATGTCTTGTGGTTGCTTTGAGGTACTGAACTTTTTCATTAGGTGTGTTCTGTAATTACAGGTGATATTAAGCTTTTACCCCTTCTTTAAACTGTTGAAGTGTTTTTTTTTAATAGCTATTACATTAAGCGATAATTCAGTCTTGAGCAATGAATGACAGAATCAGGTAGGATTCGTTTTACCCACGTTGTGTCTATTTTGAAAAACTGTAACATTTTATTATTGAGTTTCTTTGTGACTAAGTAACAGTGCTTACTGACTGCTAATTCACTTTTTTTAGTCTTTAAAAAGGCAGGCCTTGTTGCTCATGACAGAGTTGTAAACCCTGAATGATTTATGAGCAGTAGATGAAATAAAATCAGTTACTTTTGAAATAGTGCTTCTCTTCCCTAAAAGCACTCTGATACCTCATTTGGGCTCAATGATTCTCCAAATTCTGGAGACTTTAACATGCAGAGGTGGCAGTAGCAACTGATCAAGTTAGCAGCAGTGAGATCAGTGACTGTTCCTGATGTAGTGTTAAGTTATGGTTCTGTTTAGTTATAGCGAAATATTGTTGTCTTTTGCATGACTCATAACCCAATGTAGAATTCCTTAGAAGTCTTTCCATAGATAAAAAACAGTAAGCTTTAAAATTTCATAAAGTTTTTTTTATTTCTCACTGGCCATGGAATTCTGGCGTTTTCTCATCACTGCTATCCTTAAAGGGTAGGAAAGTAGTTTGCAAAAGCATATGTTGTCATCCTCTTGAATGAGTTGGCATTTGTTATTAAAGTCACAGTTAGTAAGAACATATTTCACTGCTGTTTCTTGCCATTTGGAATATTTTGGAATCTTGTGGATCACTCATGACCTATATACATATAGAATTATGGAATCAGTGGGAGATGCAGCATTATATCAGCAGTACTCTCACTATTTCTGTACTTTGCTGGTCCACATTCTAATTTAGAATCGTATAACTATTAAGGTTGGAAAAGACCTCTAAGATCATCTAAACCAACCATCCACGTACCACCAGTATTGTCCATTAGACCGTATTCTCTAGTACCATATCTACGTATTTCTTGAACTTCTCAACATAAAGATCTTCTCTTGACTAATAATGCCAGGAATGCTGAAATAACTTAAAAATGCTTGTGTCTAACTTCATTTGTTCCAGGCTCTACCAGCTTTTGGAAGGAGAAAACAAAAAACAACTGTTTAAAACATACAAAAACCTGGAACAGATGGCTCAGAAATTAAATCAGGATTGTGTAACAGCACAAGAGCAGCTAGCAGTGTCTTCTCAGGAGCAGTCTCTCCTGTTGTCCAAACTAGACAGTGATGTAAATGCTCTTCGTGATGCTCTGTATTGTGGAGGAAATCAGATACTACTCACTAGTCGGGTATGTCCTTATGTCGTTGTTAAATGATTGTATCCATGCCTTTTGTGCTCTTTTACTCAGACAGATATAATGGTTGTAGGCACGAAGTGGCCACAACATGTCATCAACAAACTTAGTAGTGTAATGATGATGGGCACGTAGTTGTGTTGTTCTTAGCAAGTGTGGGATTTTGTCATACGTTGGTAGGTAATAATTTATTGGTTTTGAAGCAATAGTGGCATCTAACTCTTAATTTCTTTCAAAGGCAGTTACAGTCATGTATAGGTTTATGGTGTGGAAAATGTCTTTTGGCTACGATGTCACAGGAAAATTCATATAAACATTCACCTGAATAGTATGGTCTGGCCCCTTAAAATGGTCTGGCTGTGTTGGCTCATTTGTAGGAAATAAGAATGTTGGGATTTTTGAAGGATAGTTTTAGTAGCACAACTCTAGGCAGAGCTCCTGGATGGCTTTTGCAGCCGCTTTTGAAGGGGAATAGGGTTAAATATAATTTTGTTACAGTGAGCAACTATAAATATCTGAAAAATGCAACAGAAGTCTTCACTTGTTCCACAATCCTTACTTACATGCATTAGAAAATATGTTGAATAATATATAATTAATAATATTTGACTATTCACAACATACAGAACAGTCATACAAAGAAATTATTCTTTGTGATTAGAACAATGCCTTCTTAGGGATTAAAGGTTGTTGCCTCCATCAGTGTACTCTTTAGTGGTCCAAGTTACTTAAAACAGTGACACATTTTTCTATTGGTACTGTTTCTGAGGAAAAAGAGTTCTTATAAGGAAGTAATGTGCAAGTAGGTAACTAGCTTGCCTACACTGAACTATCATAAGAATGACAATTAGGAGAACTGTATTTTGTAATTATTTCATATTAAAATTGAATTGCTTTTCTGTTTGATTTTGTTCTCTTTTGACTAGTAATGAAGACTCTAGACAATGTTGTTCAACCATCTGTATAGTTGGAGGACAGGTTCTCACAGTCTTAATTCATTTGTTTTAGTAAGGAAGGAAATTAAATTACATTTTCATAACCTGATGCAGGTGCATGCAGCTTGACAGCTACATATACAGGATTTATCATATGTTATTTTTTTTAATGATTTTTCACTTATTAAAAAAAAGGCTTCCAAAAGCAAAATACTTTCATATTTCTAGTTCAGCTGTTGTTTTAATAATACAAAAATAACATTTTTGTGTTGTGTATCTTTTATTAGGAACTTACTGAGCAGTTTCATCAACTGGAAGGTGATTTAAATAAACTAAATCAACTAATTATGGATCTTATTGCTGACGTGAAGTCAAAGAGAAACTTCTTAGCATCCAATAAGCTGCATCAGATGGAAAGAAACTTGTATGTGTATTTTTTCAAAGATGAGAACCACTTGAAGGAGATGGTGGAGAAGCTTGAACAGCAGTCAGAGGCTAAAGCCAGTGGTCTGGAAGATGAGAATTTCACCACCAGTGAATTCTTTAATACTTAACCTTCAGTGTATTCTTAAGATAAAGAAACACGTTAATGTAAACTGTCCACAAGTTTATGGAATGATAAGTATTAGCTTATCAAGGTGAACGTTTATCTATCATTGCAATGTGTGCTTAGCTGCCACAGTTAACATGTTTGGGTTATATTCTGCTTCATGGCTTTGGCATTTGGTCATTCAGTTCTAGTTCTTCAATATTAATTAACACATTGGTTTCTTTAATGAGTTATATACACACCACTCTTTTACTAGGCTGCATGTTGATTTCCACTTTGTGCAGCATAGAGGAAAGGAAAGCTTCACACCTTTGAGATTAGCTTTCTTGCGTGGTAAGAAACTTTCAAAACATGAAGAGGGATTCCAGATTTTGGAACATAAATGGTAACGTGCTTCCTTTTGTAGAGGAAAGTTCTCCAAGGCAGAAATAATATGATTTCTGCTTTACAGTTCCTCTAAGATTTATTTTTATTATATGGAAATGAATTGGAATATGTACCAGAATCTGTTGGCTGTTTGACCACCATGTCATCGCTTCATTTATGTCCTCTCTATAGAAATTAGTCCCTACTTATAGCAAAATTTTCCAAGAGAGAACTTTTAATTTACCTTTTGGACTTGGACACTTTGGGGATATCTTTACAAAGTATTTACTCTCTGATTTGTGTTGCCAGGCATTTGAATGATGTCATCGTACTCCTGTATAGACTGGTATTAAGACTGCTTATCAAATTTCTGTGTAGGCTTCCTAATAGACTAATGGCACTAAATATGCTTTTATAGTATAAAAGTATTCCAGGCTCTTGTTTTCTGATGAGATCAGCTGTACTTGTTTTCAAATGTTGCACATATTGATGAAGGCTAGTAAATTAGCTTCAACTTCAGAAGTGGTATTTCAAAAAATATTTTGACTTAATGCTTTTAATTTCTACACTTATGTAACTTATTCTTAAATGTATAATTTTTAGTTTATTGGTTTGATGTTTTTATGTCTACTTTTCATGCTGTTTAGATCTATATGTTGTTTGTTATTAAATTCAGTTCATTACTGTCCATATTTATGGCATATCTGTAAGTTAGTATATGCTCATGAATGGTGTCTTGTTTATTTTTAATCTTCTAGGTTCTCATTTTGATAGGCTCCAGAGTTTGAATCTGAAGACTGCTGCTTCCCTCTATGGGAAGTTAGGAAATATTTTTATCTTCTGTAAGAAAACAATGATACAAATAATAAAAAAAAAAAGTTAATTTTAAACGTTAGGAGAAGACTCTGTTCCTGGCTTGTGGAATGTCTGGAAAAGGAAAATCTTTCTGCTATCTTCTTGCAAACCAGCTTTCGCTGTATAGTGCATTATTTTGTTTGACAAAATAGTGATTTTTTTTTCCTGATATCTTTCGTTAGATTCCTTGAAAGTCAGTTAGATTTTTTTTATAGCTTTGCATCATGCAGTATGGCAGTACTTAATTTGCAAGGTTAAGACCAGAAGTATCCTGTGACTTCAAAAATGCCTCACTGTTTTACTCTGCTTAAGGTTCTTGAGCGCTATGCTGGAGGTTGGTCATGTGGTGTTTTCATTTTTCTTTCTCACAAACGAGTTTAGAGATGCTCTTTGTCTTCTACAACATCTACAATTCAAGCTAAATGAAAGCTTTAGATTATTGTATACACAAATTGAAACAGGATTACCTCTTTTGAACTAGATAGCTACAAGCCAAAACTTAATGTGGCTTGAGGGCTATTCCTCTTTGGTAGTTTTTTGTATTTGTAAGTAATTTCTTGTACAAGTTAGAATCTGCTTGTGATCTTGAACTAAGAAAAATATTTCTGTGTAAAGAAAAGGGTGTATTGTTGGTAGTTAGACTTGACCTGAAAGGCCAAGTCTATGCACAGGATTTAGTAAAAGAAGATCAGAGTAACATATTTGTATAGGAATTAAATTACTTAGTACATTCTCCACTAAGAATTGCTGTTTTCTTGAATCCTTTGAAAATGTTGCATGCATACCTAGTGTTTGTGGTAAGTTCTATGCTTTGTACTGACCTAACTGTATACAGTCAAGCAGTCTATCAGTATGGATGCCTTGTCTCTAGTTCTCCCAAATGCATTTTATCTAGTGGTTCCAAGTATTTTGTATGTATTGTCCTGTAGCCATATTCTACAAGTGGAAAAGCAGCTGCTTTTGGAGAGGGGAGGAAAGAAGGAGTAAAATTGAACATCAGTAGCTGTGTTTAAAACTTGTAGAGGCTTTTGACGTGACTTACTTTACACTGACAAATGTAGTCATGCTAATACTTGACTATGTAAATTATATAGAACTTACGAAATGGAAGTTTTTTATATATGTGTTTTCTAAAACTGATTTTTGTGTATGATGATAGTAACACTTCTTTCATCACATGATGGTGCTGTTTTGACAGTTAGATCAAGAAAAACATCCATGAATTAAAACTTGAGTACTAACAACGGTGAAGTTGTGTATATGCTAAATATAGGCTAGATTGAACATATTGGGAGGGTATTTTCAACATAGAGTAATCCTTGTTTGTCATTCTCTTATTAGAAGTTGACTGTGCTTAAGATTGCATAATTTTTAGCAGGACAAGGGGGAATGGTTTTAAGTTGAGGGAGGGAAGATTGAGGTTGGATGTCAGGAGGAAAATTCTTTACAGAGAGAGCGGTGAGGTACTGGAACAGGCTGCCTGGAGAGGTTGTGGATGCCCCGTCCCTGGAGGTGTTCAAGGCCAGACTGGATGGGGCCTTGGGCAGCCTGCTCTAGTGAATGTGGAGACCTGTATTGAAGGTGGCCCTGCATGTGGCAGGGTGTTGGAGATTCATAATCCTTGAGGCCCCTTCCAACCTTGGCAATTCTGTGATAATTTTTCAGTGTACTAAAACACTGTATTTAAAGATATTTCCCTTTGTAGGTTTTGTAAATGACGAGTTTTGCTAATTTTTATCTCTAATACTTTAGAGTACTTTAGGGTGTCAGGGAGAAAATCTATTAAGGAAAATGGATGGCTGAACACAGTCATTGTATTTTGTCTTTAACTTAAACAGAATTCAAATGCAGACTGGTTTCTGACTCTGATATAATGCATAATTCATATGTGTATTCTATGTTTAGGTTTAATCGTAAAAATGGAGCATTATACATCATACATAGGATGTGGGATTTCTGAGGTGCCTTTATCTGATACTGCTCAGAGGATTATGTCAGCTTTGCAGTCTATTCCTACAGGAGTTGAGGCTAGCAGAAAAAATAATCAGAGTAAGTCTTGGCCTTATTAAGTTTCTCTCTTTTTAGTTGAAAAACTGAAATGCAAGCACTCAACACTGAACTTCAGGAATTAAGAAATAACTATAGCATTTGATGTGTCTTTCCTGTTTGAATATCACTGTGTGAGTGCAAGAAACTGGGATGTTGCTGTTAGCCTGAATTTTACTATGTTTTTTTCCTTCCTAACCTGTAGTAATATAGATGAGAATTTCTAACCATTAATTAACACTGTAAATGTGCATTAACTTGAATTTTTACTAGATACTTGCAGTAGAGGTGCTGGAAAATTGGAAGAAAGCCCTGTGAGCTCTCCAGGCTCGTGTCTTTTCTTCCAAAACATGCTCATTACCAACTCGCTCTGTGCAATTCTAGGAGAAAAAGTGAATGTAAGTTCCAGAGGTAGAGCGAGGTAGATAATGTTAATGCTGTGTCAGCACTTCTAGACTCCAGCTTTTGCGAAGTTTGAAGGCTAGGATGGCTTTCTACTGCCATCTGGTGATAGTTCCTAACATAAGGCAGGAACTGAAAGTTGTGTAGCCACTTACATATATCATACTGAATACTGTGTGCTGAAGGAGAAAAAATAAACCTTATTTTCTCAGGAGGGTGAACTTGTTAAGAAAAAATATCTAGATACTTTAAGCACTTAAGAGCACTGAACGCAAAATCATGTTACTGTCATTGTTAAATTATAATCTTATTGTGGAAGAGTGAATTTTAGCTTTGGTTTTCTCGATGCATCCCACCAGTTAAGGGACTTTAATGAAGATAAATAACAAATTATACAGTGAGATACCTATAATATTATGAAGTAATGTGCTTAGTTTCTTCTGGGGAAAGTAGTTGTCTTTTTAAAAGACTAAAAAAGCATTTTAAATACAGGATCCTGGTTTGCCTAGTCAAAACGTTATTCTAATAATCAAACAGTTTTAGTGAAAGGAAGTAGATTTCTTCATGCTTTGTTACTGAACAGCAGCATGTTATGTTCAGAATTTCTTGCTGCTGGTAATGCAAGTTTTGTAGCAGAAATCAGCAGGATTTTTGGACCAGCAGTTAGAAAGGAATATGTATTTTGCTCATGAATGTTTTTTGGTTTCTTTTTTAATTGCTAGGCAATAGAAGGATCTAAAGTTAAGACTTCTAATTACAGTCTGCAGAGGCACATATTTCAGGAGAGTTCTTTTACTGCGCTCACTGAAATTTCAAGTACTGCTTGCCTATTACCCTTCGTTCTTTTATTCCAGCCTTCATTTCCTTCTCTTCTTCTTGGGCTCCTGGGTGGTATTGAGGGAAGAAAAGGAGAAGGCACATCTTAACCTTTTCATTCAAAATTGTGCGAAGTCCTGATATTACAAAGCCTTCCTTAAACTTTCAGAAGAACTCTAGGCTAAAATATCACTGGTAGCTCAGAGGTGGGCTCAGGTTAGCAACTATGCTGTGGCCTGGTGTTCTGTCTTTAAACCCAACACTGACAGCCATCCTACTGACAGCCATCCTACTCTGTGCTGTTATGCTGGTCATGACTCACCTTTCTGTCAGTTTGATCAGTCTGCGTTTTCCTTGCTTTTTCTTCTTGTCTGGTCTTAAAATACTCATTCTCTTGCAAGGATGAGCAATGTGATAAGAAGTAACTTCTCAATGGAGCGTGGTCAATTTTTCTTCTAGGCCAGATGCAAATAAAATATTTTATTGAAGAGTATTTCTGAGAATAGTACAACCTAACAACGCGTTAACTATTTACAAATATCATTGTTTGTAAGTATCTGACGTGTGGAAGTCAAATGGATGGGGCTGTGCTCTTTGCAGCTGTTCAGTGTCAGGATAAGGGGCAATAGGCAAAAGTTGTTACACAGGAAGTTCCACAGAGATTTGAGGAAGAACTTCACTGTGAGAGTGACAGAGCATTTGAACATGCTGTCCAGAGGGGTGGTGGAGTCTCCTTCTCTGGAGATATTCAAGATCTGGATGTCTATCTCTGCAACATGCCTTAGCACAGGTTTGGACTTCATGATTTCTTGGAGGTCCCTTCCAGCTCCCCTGATTTTGTGTAAACTGTGGTATATTGTATCTTTTTTGTTGTTTTTATTGTACGTGCCCCTAGCTTTGCTTTGACAAAAATTGAATGTGTTTTTAAGGATGGCAGTGTGCATGCTTACGTATTACAGTAAAGTGCCTTCTGAGTACCTTAGAAAATGTTTTCTACTTTGTAGCAAAGTTGAATATCCTGTTGTTTTTTTTTTTTAAGGGAGACAGCATACCTCTGTGTATGCATGTTTCAGAACCTGCAGGGCCATTTTAAACATGAATTGTGTTAGTCTGAGGAAAACAGTTGCCACAGAAAACTTGATAGCAATTATTTTAACTTTAGTAACAGGGTTGGTAATCTAGCACCTAGCACTCTGTAAGCTAAACTATATGCTCTGGTCAGATTCATTTGGGCTATAAAATATTTTCTTTGTTTTAAAGGTAAAGAGAAGACAAAGGAAGATAAACTAGGTGATAAGGATGCAGGTCTGAAAAATGAAAAGGCAAGCACATTGTAAATTAATATACCACTAAGAAAAGCCACTGGTTTTATAGAAGGCTTTGTTATTGACTAGTTCTTCCATAAGAAACTGTGTTCAGTACATTGCATACATTTGTGGTTTAAATAACTTTCCTCTTTAATCTTATTTTGCACTTGCTATTTATTTGCCTTAGAGAGTCTTGGCCCCCCCTTGTTCTGGTTATACAGTCTTTTCTGACAGATTGATGAGAAATAAATGTAGAATGTTGCCAAATTTGGGTAGTTAATGTAGTTTTAAAATGTTCTCAAACCTCTATGACTGAATAATCGCTAGCATCTGAAAATACCTTGCAAAATGCTGGAAAAAGCTTTTTGTAGCAGTAGTGAAGTGGTTTATGTTTTGTAAATTATCCTCTCATCCATAACCAGCCCATATAATTCCCATGTGGTCTAGAACAGAACCATTAGATATTATATCCTCTCTATAAGCTGTTCTAAATTAACGCATCATTCTGTCTACTGAATGTCCTTAGAGCAGCTGTGTGAGTGAAGATTAAAATATTATTTTACTATCCATCTCTGGTGCTTCCGTAGGCTGCTACTAGGTGTTTCACAACAAAGTGAGCTGGTTCACAAGAAAAATGCCTGCAAATTGGCAAGTTTATTTTTTCTGTTGAATCATCTCCCTGAATTTATTTAATGTGTGTGCAGGTACACATAAGGAAGAAATCTTTTACAGTGAGGGTGGTGAGACCCTCGCACAGATTGCCCAGAGATGCCAGATCCCTGGAGACTCAAGGTCAGGCTGGACCAGGCTCTGAGCAACCTGATGTAGCTGAAGATGTCCCTGTTCATTGCAGGGGAGTTGGACTAGATGGCCTTTAAAAATCCCTTCCAACTCTGTTTCTAGGTCCAAGAATGGAAATAGCTAACTGGAACAGTCCCAACTTGGTTTGAGGTTGAGGTCTATTGAGTTGGTCAAATGATTTTCAGGTATTAAAACTGAAGCCCTATCCCAGCTGCAAACCCCACAGCCTTTCTTACTCCAACTCTGGTGATTATTGCACACTTCTGCAAGTCCATCTTGCATGGAGTTTTGGCATGGGGTAGCTAACTGCAAATTTAATTGGCTCTTAGGTGGGCTTGATGAGAATGACTTAAGCCATAGATGAATGTAAATAGTAGTGGAAACCCATCCTGTAATGTTGAGGGGATAAATTTTGACTCACCGCATTTAGCAAGATTATTCTACATAAATTATGGGACTACATCTTCTGACTTTGAAAGCCTGTTATTTACTTCCAGCTATGTCATTATTTCTAATAGATGATTGGTTCTTCCCAGAAGCTGCTGCTGCTGCTTTGTAGTTAATCATTGTTCAACTCTATTATTCTGACTTGATAATTAAATTTGTTTTGTTCCCATTTTTGAAGTTTTAAAAGATAATTACTTACTGCTGATTCTATAATTACTTTGATGTCCTAATTCAAATTCTACTATGTGTTAAACAATAAAAACTTTTTGCAATTCGACTGGAGAATACACTCGAGTGCATTAGCTGTCTGTCTACAATTCTTACACATTCAGTCCTTCTGAGCTGATATTTTTCCACCTAAGGATACAAGTATAAAATAATTTATATATGTGTATATATATATGCGCTCTTTTTGGGCCTATGTTTTCCTTAAACTGGCTCTTTTTTGATGTTATTAACATTTTTTTCTGTAGAGCATCACATCCTGAAAAGTGAAGCTGAATGAACTCATGTATGTTTATTTTTGACTCCTATTAAGTTGAACACTTGGTTCACTGAACATTTTCTGATTTTTTTCCAGGAGATCAGTGATTCCACAGTTGCCTTATTAAAATCATCTGCCG